ATCATTGTTTATGAGCATTTGTGTCTCTCATTAAATCACCTTGAACATCAGAATACTTAAGGAACAAGAGGAAGGAATGGCTTCTCTTCCTTTCTGTTCACACTGCATCTTTGCGCGCTGGTCTTTCTGTGTCTCTCGGTGCCGGTTAGCTGACAAACTAACCAAATTCCTAACAGATAGCAGATGTTAGCTTCACCAGTTTAGAAAGCTTTTCTTAGCGAGCTAATCAGTATCACTTTGTCTGTCACCCTCTATCAAGGTACCCTAATGGCTTGGCTGTCCTCTGAGCAATTTGCTGCATTTCTGCCACCACGGGCAGATAAGCTGTTCTGTCAAGCATTATCTTTCACAATCTTAAACAGACACAGTCCAGAATCTCCTTCTTTGTCACATCTGGTATATTCAATCTGCAAAGATTATGAACCACAAAACAAAAAACCAACCAACCAAACAAACAAAAAACCAAACAAAAACAAAAAGAATTGCTGCCTTAAACTTATACAATAGGGATTTTTACACATTTACTCAGTCAATGTGTTTGCATCTGAGGTGAAAAGCATTATTGCTTCAGTATGTTACCCAAACAAGGGCATGGCAGGTAAATAAATCAGCATGTTAAACATTTTCATCAAGAAAAAGTTAGTAAGTACATTGAATTTCATGCCTATCACAAAAAGAACATGAGCACTGTCCTAAAAGTACTGAAGGTACAAGGAAGCTGTTACAGTTGGCTGCATTTCCAGAAATGTTGTGGAAAACAGAGAGGAAAGATCCCTGCTCTTAGATTCTCTTTGTCTGCTGGGATGATGAGGTGGTGAATCAGTAGCCTTTTGTAGGTCTACTCATTCTTTCTATCCATGTAGATGCTTGAACTTTAAAGCAAGGAGGACAGATCCTGAAACGGCTGCAGTAAAAATTCATCTGCAACTCAAACTGACAGATAACCCTTCCTTGTCAAGCCTGGCGGCTACTGGAATCTATCTAAGACACAACTTTCTTTTTTTACCTAACTTTCAGTATCATCAATTTTTCTCTTTTAAATCCCAGAGTCCTAACTTCCATGACTTTGTCCTTCATTATCCCTCCTGAAGTTGTTGCTTCCTAACCAGATTCTCATTATTTTAATTGCTTTCTAATTGGTGAATCTGTCTAGACTGTCTCCTTTGTAATCCATTATAGACCACCCAGATGGTTTGTTCTTGAGTATAAAATCATAGTGATCAATCAAGAGTGGCTACTGCTGGGTAATGCTTTGAGCCAACTGCTATTATGTGCCTGGTGGAAATTTACCTTATTAAATCCCACCTAATGAGGTAGGTGCTATCATGATCCTAATTATATTTTAGATTAGAAAACTACAAGTTTACAGAAGATAATTAACTTGCTTCAGTGCTAGCATGTACTTTTGTTTGATCTTTTGCAGTCTTTCACTTCATAGACCTTGCCTTTGCCATTTGGCTTCTCTGCCTTTCTAAGGCACAGAATGTAATGTCCACAAATACAGAACCCCCACAACAGTACAACTACTATCCAGGTCTCACATCAGGGCCAAGCAAATCCCTATTTCAGGCAGATACAGCTCTGTCTTAAATGCTTTACTCATGAGCCTTCATATCGATGCTGCTTCCGCCATATTAGTCTGACATTTGTTCTTCTCTGTACCCTAAACCAAGCTCTGAACATATTTCTGAGGGGAAATTCTGTCAAAAAACAAAAAGATAAAAATACAAAAAAAAAAAAACCAAGTAAATGAAATAAACCAACCAAACAAATAAACTGGCCCATTCTTTTTCCATTTTTCTCTCAGCTTCTTTACCACTAAGTATCACCTCTATAAGTCATCTATCTTCAAACAAGACTACATCTCTTCCACATTCACACTGGTATTTCACGTTTCCTTTGTTTGCCTATAGCGTTGAATGATGACAAGTGGGTAGAGCAAGTAGTCAGTATGTAACTGGTGGCACATAGCAAATGTGAGTAATCTTTTCAGGACAAGGAAGTGAGTGTCGGTGTCTATTTTGTACCAGAAGCTTTTGAACATCTCTCTCTCTCTGTGTTACACACATACACACACACACACACACACACACACACACACACAGAAGGAAGGAACAGTTACAGGTAAACTAGCTTTGGAGTATTAGGTCAGCTTGTTTCCCAATTACCCTTTAGTCTTTCAGAAAGCCAATTAGTGATTCTTTGATTGATGGGGAAAAAAAGGTCCTTTTTTGTAGGTGTCTTAATAATCTCTTCATTCTGTGCTTTTCTTGATTCTCATTGATGCATTTGTCATTGTTTATCTTGTCTTTTTTCTAAGCATCAAGGTTCTCCTTGTCAATATTATTTCATTACTTAACTCTGGCCCTATTAATCTAGCTACAGAACTTGGCATTAAGGCACCACATTCCGATTCAATGTGCTATTGGCAGCTCTCATTGGTCTCATATTAGTTCTGAGATCTGGGCTGCAGCCATTCTTTACTGTAAATTAAAGAGATAGGATGACAAATGACCCTTTCAGCAGCCTGTTCCATCACAGTGGAACGAGAGAGAATAAAGTAGCTACCGAGCATTATGTTCCCCAAGGAGGACAGCAGCCCAGGCCAGGCTGTCTGAGGAGGGGGTGAGCGGGCAGGTCAACCACCAGCAAAGTGCTCTCTCCAGGCTTCAGACCAAAAGTGAATTTTTCATATTGCACCCTTCAGGAGTTTTGTATATTTAATAATACTAACAAACATAAATATTCATATTTCTCATTCCCAGAATATCATCCTATCATTGGTAAGAAAAGTTGGCCTTAAAAAATAAAACATATGCTCAAGTTCTAGCTGAACCTTAGGCAAATCACAACAACAAAGGTACCAAATGGCAAAATAGAGATAAGGAAACTCAGGCTCACACTAAGCCATCATCACTACCATCAGCATCATCATAAGCATTCTATTTCCTTCAAAGGATGGAGGATGGCAGATATGAAAACACTTTGATGAGGCTTAAATATCATGCAATATAAGACACGTCAACACAGGTCTGATACACAAGTTCCTCAAACTACAGAGATGGGACTAATTTGAAGTATTTACGGAGCAGCATCCTGTTGTGATCAGTTTTCTACAGGAAGCAGTTGTTTCCATATCAGACAGTTCTTTTCAATGATCCAACTTGGTATTTTATTTCTGTCCTTTGTGGTTAATGAACCTCATCTGCCTGTAAGATCTAGAAGCACTAGTCAGCCTTTACAAGGTGCTGAAAGAAGTTTCACAGACTTTGCTCATCATCAATAAGTAAACACAATAGGAAAAAATAAGACTGACCACACATTTATTAACTGAAAAACGAGTTTTCAGCTTAGAGAATAAACCCAAACTACCCTTGAAGGGCCTCTTTGCCTATGCTAGAATAAATCAGACTCAGTTATCAGCAATGCAATGCACCATGACTCACACCGTCAGTCACTGCACTAGAGAGGCAGAGGCAGGCAAGTCTCCGTGAGTTCCAGCACAGCCTCATCTATACATCTAGTTCTAGGCCAGATGGGGCTACATAGTGAGACTCTGTCTCAAGGAGAGAGAGAGAGAGAGAGAGAGAGAGAGAGAGAGAGAGAGAGAGAGGAGTGTGGGGATAGCGATAAAAAGAAAGAAAAGCCACATACAACTTGAAAGGTATCCTTAAAGATACTGAATGAGGTGAAACACATCTGAAATTCACAAGTGAAGTTTTATCTTAGAAGATGAGCTCATCTTCCGCATTTCTATTATGAGCACACATTTAGCATAAAAACACTTCTATAGTGACAAAATACCATAGTGTGAGGGTCCAGCAGCAAAGATCTGCAATGTGCAATCTGAAGCCTCTCATGAAAACAAAGGCAAATCCACATTTCCCTAATTGGCTCTGTTGCTGTGGCTACCTTGGACTTGGTGAGCCTTGGGAGTTTTGCAATCAATATTAAGGCTGCTGCATAAGTGTGTGGTTCATTACTACAGCCGATGTCACAAATTCTACTTTGTCCATAAGAGCAAACACGACTGGCTTTAACTCTCTGCTCTGAACAATAGAAACAGTGTTCTGACTCTGAGAAGCCTCCCTCCAGACTCTGAGCCTTTCTGAACGATGCTGTACTAAGGATTTGCAGGCTTCATTGCTCAAGCTGACTTCTCAGAAGATGCTTAGCTGAGGGAGATGCTTGGAGCTCAATAGATGAGCTGAGATCAAGGGAAAAGACAAAAAGAAGGAGGGGCATGCAGTTTCTGACCACATGTATTGGTCCTCAGTGAAGAGCTCTTTCAGAACTCTGTGGGTGGTTTTTGAACCTTGTCTTAACTTCCCTTAAGTTTCAAAGGGAACCATTAGAGGCACTTGAATGAGCCTTCTCTGCTGTCTTCCACAAGAGATCTGAACTTTAATTTGGTACACAAGTTTTCTTTCTAAGAAAAGGAAACTTGAGGGTCCCATTTTTGCTGAACCCCTGCTTAGCCAGCATTTTAGCTTCCACATGATTAGCATCTGCACTGGCTGGGCTCTGTCAGTGATCAGGACACACACGCAATGTCTCAGTACCTCCGGACAGTGCCTTTGTGCCATGCATGAGTATGGCACCCGGAGCCCTAGGCCCTCATTCTAATTAGGTGACCTTCCTCTGCCCTGGGGGACCTAGGAACAGCAAAGAGGCTCCCTGGCACTCCTGCATTAAACATTCAACTCTTTGTTTTTCTGTGAAGTAGCAGGACCCATTTTAGAGGCCACAGCAGCTCGCAATAGTTCCTTCACTGCTGGGCTCTCAGTGGCAAGGAAACACTGGGATCTAAGCTTTGAAAGAAGTAAACCACAGTCTTGACGAACTTCTCTACCACAAGGTTGAAATGCAAGGGGAGGGAGAGCAAAAGGGGCAACTCCACACAAAAGCAGCCAGCCTGGAAGCTGTGCCTGCACAAAGGCTGCCCCCAGGTGCTCAGCTGCCAGGCTGGGTGGACCAAGTAGTGCTGAAAGTCCTTCCAGGCCTGCAAGATTCGTCCAGTGCTCACGGAGCTGTCCCTGCTCAGTCAGCGCCTGGGTACAGCGTTCCGGGAGGGTGAAGGGCGATCCACCCCAGGGCCGCCCCACTCACTGAGCGACCCCGCACCGCCCGTTCCACCCCGGCCTCTTGCCAAGTCTGCAGAAGCTGGGCTTGTACTCACCTGTGAGCCTTCAGCACAGCTGAGCGCGAAGGACAGCGGCGGCACCGATGTTCTGCATCCCTGCCATGACCCTCTTAGAGGCCGCCCACACTCCCTTGGCTGTCTGGGATGCCAGAGGGAGGGCGCTTGGCTTTGTTGTTTATTCATAAGGCCGCAGCTAAGGCTCGGGATTGGTCAGAGAATGGCTACCCCCGCCCCTCTGGCAATGACGACCTAGGACCACGCCCCAATTGCTTCCACACCCCCAACTCTGCTCCCACACGCGGCTAGATTTGTTTGGGACCCCTCAGGAGGCCCTGCCCCAGCTTCCCCTCTTCACATCCTGGGCGTCTGCTGCAGCTCTCTCTGTACCTTCAGAGAGGACACCGGAGCCCTGGTCCATCCAACCTGAGCGGGGATTTCTCTGATGCCTGGTAAACAAGGGGCATTCGGTCCCCAGCTGCAGAGTGGTCCCTTTGGGAATAGTGGGCAACTTGGCCGGAGCTCCTAAGCAGTCTTAAAGGAACTCGGCAAGAAATGGTCTTTTCCTTGCTGAAGTAGAAAATAAGAGTTAATAAAGAGGATGGGTTACTGACTTTTTGCTTCTTCTGACACAAAGCAAGGTGCCACAGAATTTACTGCTCGAGCACTGCCAGAACTCTGAAAAGTACCTTGAGAGATGAAACTTCAGGACTGCATTTGGTACAATGTCGTAAGGCATGGATGTCCATGCCCGCCATCTTTGCTCCTCTCAGGGTTCACTTCTCCTTTTTAGTGTCCTAATTGTGAAGGAAGAGAAGTGAGCCCTAGAACCGATCTCATAGCACTTGCCCTCGGTTCTGGTTCATATGAACTCCATTCTTCATGATGGCCAGTCTATTTCCAGTGGCGTGTGTGTACATGTTGTTCATCTTTGCCTCCCACACTTTTTTACTGTGCGCAAATGCACTGTAAACTTATTTCTCCCACCTCCCTTCAGAATAAATAGCTTTGAATATTTGAATGGTAGCCAACAAATGGTTTTTGAATGAAATTTGATTAAATTTAATTGATGGATGGAATCTTTATTCTATATGTGTTCAACTTAACACATAGTGCATCGTGTGGTGACCAGGTCTCCTGTGAGGTGGACCACTGACTAAGTTATTTTACAGCATTTTTTTTTTTTAATGTCAGTGGTTCGAAAATCAGGTGATGTCTTTTATAACTTTCCATAGTATGGCAATGTCCCAGCTAGTGTGCGCGCGCTTGCATGCTTGCACACACACACACACACACACACACACACACACACACACACACACACACAATGAGTTAGCTAAACCTAAATTCTGAAACCCAACAGGATGAATGAAAACAACACGAATGGTGGATATTGAGTACATAGTTCCAAGCTGAATAGAAGAGATGGCAAAATGATATTCCTGTTCCCCTCAAATTCACGGCCTGACACACCCACAAATTTTCTCTAGTCAAAACTTCTTTCACAACTCCTGTCTATTTACATATCTCTTGCTTTGATGCTCCTACCTCAGTCATGCAGATTGCCCCCTGTTAGACCTGACACTGTCAACCTCTGCAATAGTTGTTTTCCATGGGAAAGTTCTTCTCTAGCATTTACAGCCCATTATGTCAGCTGTGCAGTAAAACCAAACCAGTCGTTTTCAGCCTCGTTTGTAATAATCCTGTATCCTGTCCCAAATGATTAGCACTGTTTTAAACCACTCTAGCTCATATGGTTTATCTCAAATGCTGCTGTTGGTGTAAGACAGTGAAAAAATCTTTTCTCCTCCACCTCAAAGTACACTGTAGACCAACAGAAATGTGCTAAGCACATTAAGCCAATAAATTCACACATTATGAATGTTATTGTCTTTTATGGGTAAAGCAACAAAATTTATGTCGTGTGTAAATATACATAAGGTTGTGCATGTATTCATACACACAAGGCATCAAATTCAGGAAAGAAGTTTGGGGATGATAGATTTAGTAAATTATTTAGAGAATTTTCGGTTAAACTTGAATTTCAGATAGACTGTGTCTCACTCTTAACTGTAGGATGCACTGGTTATCCACTGGGAAATATCTAATATAAAAATTAATATAAGGTCTGGAGAGCTGGTTCAGAGGCTAGACCACGTGCAGGCTACCAGAGGAGCAGGGTTTAATTCCAAGTAATGACTGACACCTCACACCCCTCTGTACATACAGTTCCAACAAATCCAACACCTTTTTGTGACTATGTGGGTACCAGGCAGGCAAGTTGTATACAAATATACATTATACAGACAACAACCCAATGCACATGAAATAAAATGTTTTTGAAATTAGTATAAAAAGATTATATTCTATCTAACATTTAGGTCATACTTATGCTGAAATTACATGGGGTTAAGGAAAAATGCAAATTTCTCTGGGAGTCCTGCATTTCATTTTTTAGATCTGTCAGTACTGGGCTATTACTAAGTTCTGACTGGTTAAAAACTTTTGAGTGAGAAGGGAATTAGACGCCCAACTTCAAAAGCAAAATAAACAATAGCCATTCAAGTATCACTCATAGGAGAAGTTTTTTTACCCTAATGGTAACAGGCTTATTTTTTCCATTGATTTATTTATTTGTTCATTTTACATCCCAGTCAAAACCCCTCTGCCTCCTCTCCTCCCAGTCCCACCTTCCAACCCACTTTCCCCATGCCCACCCCCACGCCAATCCATCCCTGTCACATCAAGTTGAATCAGGACTAAGTTCCTCCTCTTTCACTGAAGCAAGACAAGGCAGCCTTGATAGGGAAAAGAGATCCAAGAAATTAAACACCAACAAACCAAATGATCCAATTAAAAACAAGGAATCCTATACATTGTGGCCCCTATAGGCAAGTGCATGCAAACCGAGAATTCTCAAAAGAAGAGTCTTTAGTGGTTGAGAAGCACTTGAAATGCTCAGCCTCCTTAGTCTTCAGGGAAATGCAAATCAAAATGACTCTGAGATTCCATCTTACACCCATCAGTGGTTAAGATAAAAAATTCAAGTGACAGCACATGCTGTCGAGGATGTAGAGCAAAGGGAACACTCCCCCATTGCTGGTGGAGTACAAACCTGTACAACCACTTTGGATATCAATTTGGCGTTTTCAAAGAAAATTGGGACTAGTTCTACCTCAAGACCCAGCTATACCACTTCTGGTCATATACCAAAGTATGCTTCACCAAACGATAAGGCCGTTTGCTCAACTATGTTCATAGCAGCTTTATTCATAATAGCCATAGGAGAAGTTTTGATAGGAAGAACCAGGTATGTAGAGTGATACTATCATTGAAACGAGCAGAAAGAGGCTGGAGATATGACTCAGCAGTTAAGAACAATGGATGCTCTTCCAGAGGACCTGTGCTTGATTTCCAATAACCAAAAAAAAAAAACAAAAAAAACAAAAAAAACAAAACAAACAAACAAAAAAAATACACGCCAGCTCACAGCCATCTGTAACTCAAGTATGTCAGGGTCCACTGCCCTCTACTGATCTTTTTGGGCAATGCATGTAGTACACATAAGAATTAGTGCATTAATTAGTAGATTAATTAGTACACATTAATTATATTATACACATCATATTAATTAGTACACATAAGAATTAGTATATTAGAGGAAGACCTCCTTCCCTTCTATCTGACCCTAGACTGTCAGATCTCATCAGGGCTGGCTGTATCATCTTCCTCTGTGGCCTGGCAAGGCTGCACCCCCTAGGGGGAGATGATCAAAGAGCCTGTCATGAGTTTATATCAGATACAGCCCCTGATCCCCTTACTAGAGCACCCACTTGGAAACTGAGTAGCCTATGGGCTTCCTCTGAGCAGGGGTTCTAAGTCCTCTCCAAGCACGGTCCTTGGTTGGAGTATCAGTCTCTGCAGGGCCCCCTGGGCTGAGGTTTTTTGGCTCTGTTGTTCTCCATGTGGAGTTCCTGTCCCATCCAGGTCTTTCTATCCCCCTCTTCTTCCATAAGGATTTCGGCACTCTGCCCAAAGTTTGGCTATGAGTCTCAGTATCTCCTTCGATGCCCTAATGGGTAGAGTCTTTCAGGGGACTCCTGTGGAAGGCTCCTGTCCTGTTCCTTTGTCTTCTACTACTTCCAATGTCTATACTGCTTGCCCTTCTGAGTGAGGTTTCGGTCTCTTCCTTAAGGTCCTCCTTGTTCTTTAGCTTCTTTAGGACTATAGATTTTAGTATGTTTATCCTATATTACTTGGCTAAAATCTACTTACAAGTGAGTATATACCATAAGGGGAAGAGGGGGAAAAGAGGAAGGGTGGGTGGGCCAGGCAGGAGATGAGGGAGGGGCCCAGAGCTGGGATACAAAATAAATAAATTGTAGTAAATTAATTAACTAATTAATTAATTTTTAAAAGTACTTACTGCTCCTGCATAGGTCCTGAGTTGGCAGCCAGCACCCATATCAGACATATCATAACTGGCTAGAACTCTAGATCCAAGGAATCCTATACATTGTGGCCTCTATAGGCAAGCATGCAAGTTGTGCATACACATACACATAAAAACAAACAAACAAACAAAGAATTAGTATATTAGAGCCCATTTTAAAGGAGCAGAAATACTTGAAAATATATTAGATCTTAATATGATCCTCAAGTATTGGCACAGAATCACTTTTTGAGGTTTTTGATCTTATTGACAAAAGAATTTTTTAAAAGAGGACAAGCTGGATACACAAAAACACAGAACTCGATGGGTATTCAAAGCCTTTGTTCCTCATGACTCTTATTGAAGGAGGCATTAAATTGTCTGCCTCCATGGTGGTTTTGGTTTTGGCAACTAAGGCAATGAATGATCCGGCCTTTAGATACCATGAAGGAGGAAAGACTTAACATTAGTACTTGAGAGAACGTTGTAATTGGGTAAGAAATGCTCCATCTAGCCTGGAAGTTAGGATGTGGCTAAGATGGAAACAATGGCAGCTCGCTACACTCACTGTCATCGGTTTACGCCTCAGCTCTGTGTCCAACAAGGAAGAAACAACGACATGAATTCACATCACTTTGCCTTTCAGCTTTCTTGCTGGTCTCTA